GAAAAAAAAAAAAAAAAAAAAAAAAAAAAAAAAAAAAAATAGCCGGGCGTGAAAGCGTGCGCCTGTAGTCTCAGCTACTCGGGAGGCTGAGGCAGGAGAATCGCTTGAACCCGGGAGGCAGAGGTTGCAGTAAGCCAAGATCGCGCCACTGCACTCCAGCCTGGGTGACAGAGTGAGACTGTCTCAAAAAAAAAAAAAAAAAAAAAAAAAGATTTCCCCAGGCCTTGCTTCTGTAGTGCCTACTTGATTATTTTAGAAAAAGGAAAAGCAACGTGACCGTTTTGGTTAACCAGTAGAAAATTCCTGTGTTTTGGTGATTAACAAATAATTTTTAAAATAGTTATTCTACTACTGTGGGATGCTCCTAAATATTGCTCACGTTTAATACTTACAACAACTGCTATAAACTAGGCAGGGCAAATATCCACACTTCCTCCCACTCTGTCTCCCTTCCCCTACCCTTTAAAGACATGAGGAAAGAAGCTAACAGATTTGACAGGCAAGTCTTTGTCTCCCCTGTAACCATACCAGAGCTCCATGGTTCCTGGACGTAAAAGTGTGAGAACTATTGTCATGGGCTAATTTGTCCCATAAGTCTCCAGGATGGTTTTAATTTCTAGTAATAGATAATAATTTAAGCCACCGGTAGCTGTTCCCACAAGTGTGTCCTTAGTGGCAGGATGCACTGATGGAACTTCAGTGGCTTTTGAGTGAGACCAATTGGCATCTTATCCACACACAACTGCACCTGGCAGCTCTCGCACTGGGACATGGTGTTAGCAAGGTGGGTGTGCTTGCCCAAGCCTCACCACTGAGAATCAGTGAAAAGTAAAGGCTTGGTTTTTGGGGAACCCAAGATGGCCGAATAGGAACAGCTTCAGCGTCCAGCTCCCAGTATGAGTGACACAGAAGATGGGTGATTTCTGCATTTTCAACTGAGGTACTGGGTTCATCTCACTGGGGCATGTCTGACCAGTTGGCACTGGTCCATGGGTGCAGTCCGACCAGCGAGAGCTGAAGCAGGGCGAGGCATCGCCTCACCAGGGAAGCTCAAGGGGGAAGGGAATTCCTTTTCCTAGCCAAAGGAAATTGAGACGCACAACACCTGGAAAATCAGGTAACTCCCACCCCAATACTGCGCTTTACCAAGGGTCTTAGCAAATGGCACACCAGGAGATTATATCCCACACCTGGCCCAGAGGGTCCCACACCCAGGGAGTCTCCCTCATTGCTAGCGCTGCAGTCTGAGATCTAACTGCAAGGTGGCCGCGAGGCTGGGGGAGGGGCGACCGCCATTGCTGAGGCTTAGGTAGGTAAACCAGGAAGCTCAAATTCGGTGGAGCCCACCACAGCTCAAGGAGGCCAGCCTGCCTCTGTAGACTCCTCCTCTGGGGACAGGGCATAGCTAAACAAAAAGCAGCAGAAACCTGGGCAGAGGTAAATGCCCCGTCTAACAACTTTGAAGAGAGCAGTGGATCTCCCAGCATGGAGGTTGAGATCTGAGAACAGACAGACTGCCTGCTCAAGTGGGTCCCTGGCCGCTGAGTAGCCTAACTGGGAGACATCCCCCACTAGGTGCAGACCGACACCTCACACTTCACATGGCAGAGTACACTCCTGAGACGAAGCTTCCACAGCAAGAATCAGACAGCAACACTCGCTGTTCAGCAATATTCTATCTTCTGCAGCCTCCGCTGCTGATACCCAGGCAAACAGGGTCTGGAGTGGACCTCAAGCAAACTCCAACAGACCTACAGCTGAGGGTCCTGAATGTTAGAAGGAAAACTAACAAACAGAAAGGACACCCACACCAAAACCCCATCAGTACGTTACCATCATCAAAGACCAAAGGCAGATAAAACCACAAAGATGGGGGAAAAGCAGGTTAGAAAACCTGGAAATTCAAAAAATAAGAGGCCGGGCGCGGTGGCTCAAGCCTGTAATCCCAGCACTTTGGGAGGCCGAGACGGGCGGATCACG